TGTTGCTAATTTAAGTGGTGTTGGAAGAAGTACTGTGGGTAAAATTGTATTAGATTTCTGCAACGCGGTTTGCCAAATATTCAATGAGTACATATCGTCTTGCCCTCCTATTATTGCAGAAATTAAGGAATCCGTAAACGGGTTTTGCAATCTTGGTTTCCCACAATGTTTTGGAGCGCTGTTGAATCTCTATATGACAGTCATCTGCTTAATAAAGGATTTCTTTATTATATTAAGAATTTATTATATTATTAAGGATTTTATTATATTAATAACAATCCTTTATTAAACAGATGGCTGTCATATAGAGATTCAACCGCGGAGGATAAAAGCCGTTGACTATTATAATTATAAGGGTTGGTGTTCCGTGGTTTTGCTCGCATGTTGCTATCATAGGTAAGTTTGCAAATGTAGTTCATAATTGAACACGAACATTATTATTCTTTTGTTTATTTCCTCAGGTCAAAATTTACCTACATTAATATTGGGTCGGCAGGAAGAAACAACGACTCCTATATCTTTGAAAGAATTTCATTGAAAAAATTTCATGAATTCAGTGATATTTTCTCTCGATAAGCAAGAGTAATAGAAGGCGGTCAGATACCCGTCGGTGGAGGCGAAAGTTATAAGAAATACGATCGCATTAAGTTTTCGTAAGTAAAATACAACATTAACATTTAATAAATAGTTATATACAGTTTTTATTAAATACTAATACTTATTCTAATACAAAAAGCCACAAATTTAGTAAATAGTTATGTACAGTGTTTATTAAATACTAATACTTATTCTAATACTAATAACTACAAACTTGACTAATAATAAAACTAATATTAAATCTAATACTAAGAAATAAAATTTAACTAATAATTGACTCCTCCACTACATTACTATTAACGGCGTTTGACCCTATCATTTTATGGATCCTTCCGAAGTACTTCCATTCTCGTCGGCTCCCTCCGGAAGGACCCATTTGCTTTTTCTCTGCTCTCTAATCATGTTAATAACTAATCAAATAAAAATGTGGGAGGTGAATACCTATGTCTTTGCTGCAGGTTATTTATTTTTGTGTGCACTTCTTGCGCACTAAATTTCCCAAGTTCTTTAGAAATTATTTGACAAATATGCGCATTGCGCTTACATTTACGGAAATCACTCAGATTTTCCTTCCACAGTTGTATTAATTTGAGTCATCTAAAATCAAAAGAAATACAGAAAAAATTCGCACAAGTTATTAAATTTAAAAATACAATGAGTACTTACATTTACTAATGTTTCCAAATCTGTTTTGTTTACACTTTGACAATAAAACAACAGTTAAAAATTTCTCCCAATTTTTATTTCGGACGTGTGCGAGTTAGGCTAAATTGATGCTAAACCAAATGGGAGATTTTTTGGGATTTTTTGCACTGCACACTTTTAGCCATTTATCAACACGTATCGAAACATCACTACATTATCGGCACAACTTAGCATTTCCCTCATTTAGAACGCAACTTAACCTAACTCGCACACGACCTAAATCTGCTTTACAAGTCTCGAATGCGATAATATCTTCTGGCTTCCAGATGATTTTGATATTATAGTTTTTGCGATTTCCTAGAGAAAGATTGAATAAACGTCGCTGGTTGTAGACGTCGTTGCGTTGAAATGGTCAGTAAAAGTTATAAAGTAAATTTTATTTTTTAACTATTAATTAAATGAATGTAATTTGAAATAAAATAGTTTTATTATGTATAAGCACTATATAATAGTTGAAATATTTTTGAATAATAATAAATTATTGATGATTTTTTTTTTTTGACCGTAGGTGGAAGCCCGAAAGCCACTGTGTGAGACTTGAACCCACTAAACAACCTCTTAGGAATGAATGGAGAAGATTTCCACAGCATTATGAAAATTTCATTCCAGTAATCTGGGGAGAGAGGAGAAAAAATGGACTTAGTACCTAGCGAGCAAGATTTATCTAAGACAGAAACCAAGGGCATACATTAGGGAAATTGGGTTATAGAGAAGTTATTAGGAAATTATTAGGCTCCAACAATCGCAAGGTCAGCGCTAATTTAGAAGGATTCTATTTAGCATTTTTTTCTCTTCTTATATATAACACCTTCGACATTTTGATGTCATCAGCTAGAATCCTTGTAACTAGGATTGATTATAATATTTAACGCCTCCGACGTTTTGATGTCATCGGCTAGAACCATTGTAACTAGAATTTTTTATAATATATAATGTCTTCGACATTTTGATGTTATCGGCTAGAACTATTGTAACTAGGATTTTCTGTGGCATAGCAAATAGTTTATAATTAGAGTAAGTTTAGATTTAATGAAATTATTTAAAAAAAAAAAATCCAAATGTCTTTTGTTCCTTTACTTCTTGGTCGCACACTAGTTTATCGAACAGGTTAATTAACAAATTTATTGCAACGTCCCGGACACGACCGAGTGATATCTCAGCAAAATTAAACAACGCATCCATGTGGTTACAAAATTAATCATCTTCTTGAAATGTCTTAACTCCTTCACCGTTGATGGAAAAGAAGTAGTAATCGCCGTCTTCGATATGTCGTACTCGGCCACTAAAATCTGGTAGTACGCCTTCTGTAAGTCAACCTTCGAAAAAATGCCTTTGCCTTGGAGGATGGTTGTTACGTTATGCAGAAAAACAAATTTTGTCCTGTCAGAAGTTGAATAAAAAAACCCTTTATATATATGTATATATATATATATATAAAAAACTCTCATATCTTTTATAACTCCTCTTTACTTTAAGCATTCATTTGCTTTTATAAAAATTTGCTCGCATTACATCTTACAAAGTAATGTGTAATAGGATAGTGGATTGTAAAAATATTTAATGTGATGTTCCAAGAACTTGCTTGATTACTTGCGCACTATATAAACTATTATTTTCAATTGAGAGATTTTTATCGAAAATTGAAACAACAAAATTTTTTTTTTTTATTATTTTTAATTAATTGAACTTTTGATTTATCGTATAGCTGTTTCAAGTTATCCCAAATATCCCTCATCAGCGATCATGGAATTATATCTTATATTTAATTATTCGAAAAACATTTTTCGAGACTGCAAATAATAAGAGTTGGGCTCATACACTGCAAAATTTGAAGCTCAGAGCCAGTGTTCATTAGCCAACTGATTAAAAGCCGTAGTTGACTTCTACGATCGAATTTGGAGTTCATTGGAAATTCACTTGCTGTGTTATATTAGAACGAAATCATAAACAAACTGTAAAGTAATTGAATTAATTATATTATTACTTATTTCTATTTATTACATTTCAATGCCATTCTATTGTAGAGGCATTATTAATTGCATGATTTTGTTACCTATAACCTAATCTAGAACCGTAATATAAAGAAAGTCATTCTAATGTTACACCACGCTTCGCTCAGGCATATTTAAAAAATCCCATTCATTGTGGAATTTAGGTTCCTTTTATTGTTCTATTATTTTAGGCAGTTTAACCTGATACGTTAATGCGACAAACAAAAATCGTGCTTTTAAAATAATAATTCACAATATAAGACATGTAAAAACCATAAGAAAATATTATAAAAATAAAAAACCATGCGTAATAAAATTTTTAAAATACTTAATAATTAAATATAACCTTATGATAGACGGATTCGAATAGCAAAGAAAGGACAAAGACAAAAATTTTTCATTTTTAATTTATTGAAATTTGGCTGTTTCGAGTATTGCCAAGTACTCTTCATCAGTGGTCTTTGAAAATAATCGAATTTTATTTAATTAGTTTATAGTCCGTATATAATTTGTTTGGACTGCAAGTGCCAGGCTTAGAACTCGTGCCTGTCAAATTAAAAGCGATGACTAATCGTGTTTATCCACAAATAGCCAAGGCTGCACAAACTTTCAATGCTCAAATTCCAGGTTTTGTCACTTATTTTTATTTAATTAGTGACACCAACCAAAGCACTTATCATGCTTTAAATTAGAACGAACTTATAAACTACAGCTTTATTTGGAAACACAAGTTCAACGAATTGAAAGTTAATCTTTGAGCTTACCTATTTTTGCTTCAAAGCTATTCTTTTTGTAGAGACATCTGTTATGCATATTTTTGACAGGCACGAGTTCTAAGCCTGGCACTTGCAGTCTGAACAATTTATATACGGACTATAAACTAATTAAATAAAATTCGATTATTTCCAAAGACCACTGATGAAGAGTACTTGGCAATACTCGAAACAGCCAAATTTCAATAAATTAAAAATGAAAAATTTTTGTCTTTGTCCTTTCTTTGCTATTCGAATCCGTCTAACTTTTAAATAGTTTCTTTCGTCATAAAAAGACACGCCATTATCGGCAAGAAAAAATTAACCTTATGATATTTTGAGGTATATGGAAAGCAGTTACATGCTGAATTTTTAACAGAATCTAAACACAAGAAGCTAATTTCAAGACAATATCCTACAAATAGACATATATATGTCGATGTCAGATAAAATGCTTGTGTTTACAATTCAGTCATGTTATGATAACAATGAATAAACAAACATGTCCACATATAGTCCTTTCATTATTTTGAGGTTTATGGATGGGATTGTCAGCACCTCAATTGCTTCAAGCACTTAAAAACGGCTTACAGCAAGACTTTTATATAGCGGTTTTCAAAGTCCATTCCTACACAGCGAAAAATTGACAACAGAAGGAAAAAAAATTTTCCTTAATCTTAATGAACCTTCAGCTACACATTTCACATCTTTAACAGCAAATACAAATAATGTTTCCATTGATATTCTAATTTTATTAGTTTTCAAATTATAACTGATTTATATCAACAGCAATAGTGTCCACTTTAACATATTTTGTTAAGCCTTTCCTTACATTTATTTTACAGGAATTATTAGCAATATTTCTAAATGTTATGTTATGTTAAAAATGATTTTATATAAATATTGAAACTAATAATAAGTTGTATTAATAACCAGTCTATTATACTCTTGTAATGTATGTATATACAATTATTATTATTTATTTTATTTTCTTTTTGATATGCACCCTATATTTACAAATAAAATTAAATACATAAATCCATTAATTTGAGTATGTATATAGTGCTGTTAATAATTTGTTATAAATGTTTTTACTTTACAAAATGCATTTTTAAGATAAATTTGTATGTAAATCAAATTAAAAAAGTATGCGATAATAAGCTTATATAATAATACCACTTTAATTTACTTCAAGTAACAAATTTACAAATTCTATCTAAGTCTAAATATTTTTCATATACACTCCAAACTAGTTTATTTATCAAATAATGAATATTAAATGCTACGATGGTATTAAGCGTTTCGTACTTAAATTTGTGTTGGCTGGCAGCTCATAAGCTATTCCGCCCCATTGCAGTTTATATGTTCTAGTACGCCATCGGATTGCTGGACTCCACAAAGCGTTGAGAAACAAGTAAGGTCCACTAAGTTCACGAAATAACCAACCCACAACAAACTCAAACTTGTGAATTGTTAATGAGCCATGCTATAAAAAAAAAAGAGTTATATCATGATTACCGAATAAATATGAAGCAATTAGTTTATTTAAATTATATCACACAACTTTGATTAAACAATTCTTAATATTAAAAATATAAATATATTTATAAAAAAATTATGCTTCATTTACTATATCTAACTATATCTAAATATATATAGCGATTTTAAACTATCTACAAACCTGCACTATTGAAAGTAATATCCAATCTGATAACAACCACGTTAGAATGTGCACCAAATAAAACACCAAAGGATCCCAGCTAAATAAAAGTGATGCTGCCCAAGAAGCAAAAGCGCCTAAGATCATACATTCTGAAAGAGGTTCGAGTAAAATAGTTGTTGGTACCATGGCAACACGCAATTTAGCCCAACGTATAAGGCGAGCTTGGAAACTTTTAATATCACAAAAACCACTATTTTGTAAAGCTGGTTGGTTACTTATACGCATTTTCCACCCGCTTTTTACTATAGCTTTGGCAATAAAAAAATCCTCTGCTAAATAACAACCAAATGTTTGAAGTCCCCCGAGTTGATCAATAACTGGTTTACGCAACAAGCAGGACATTCCTGTATGACAGTTTATACCAAGCAAATCAGCTGATAAATAAATTCTGGACTGCACTGTACCAAAGTATATCTAAATTAAAAGATGATTACACAGTTATAAGCAATTCGAAAAAATAATGACTAACCTTTTCAAAAGTTGCTGCAAAACCTTCACGATCACATGTGAAAGGCATTTGATGAACTAATGCATACCCTTCTGTCATATTATTAACCATATCTAGTAAAGTATCACTTCGCACTTATAAAATAGAAAGTTAAATAGTTTTAATGTTAACGCAAAATATAAAAACCATAGAAAATATAATAGTATAAATGGATTTCAGGGTGTTTTGTGATTTTGTATGTGACCGTGAGTGATACATGTTAGTGGAAATTAGGGCTTAAGTACAATGATGACGCCTACGCGTCAAATGTGCATAAAAAAATGCAAATAAAATAAAAATGCATTCACAAAATGCTTAAACTTTACATATACAAATCATGTGCAAACACAAAAGGTGCATTAATGAAAAAGTGTTAACTGTCGTATACTACGCAAACTATGCAAATATGCGCTTTAACATAACCGTTGTTCAAAATTTGTATAAAAAAAAATTATCCCAAACTACGTAAATATGCGCGAACCTTTAAACGCAGCATTACGATTGCGTATTTCAAAAAGTAGCTGTTTTTAGCTCTTTAATTTTTTATAAAAAGGTTTTTCGAACAGTAATGGACTACAACAACAAAAATTTTATTTCTTATATTATTTTAATTAATTGAATTTGGCTGATCATACAGCTGTTTTGAGTATTGCCAAATACCCATCATCAGTGGTCTTAGAAATAATTCTTGTATTTAATTATTCGTAAATAATTATTTTTGAGACTGCAAGTACCAGGAATCGAACTCAGGTCCTGCCAAATGTGAAGCTCAGAATCAGCGCACCTATTTTTTATTAAAAAAGTGAAATAATTTTTGACTATTGATATACAGTTTGTGAAGAAATTGCATTGACAAAGTTTAAAAATTCTTATTTTTTACAATCTTTATAAAAATACCAGTTCATATTTTGTTTGCACATAAAATTGTATTATTAAATAAAAATTAAAGAGTTTTTCGAAAAACAAAGACAGTGATTGTAATTGTAGCGCGGATATTACGCACATTTTTTAAATAGCCTATACAAAAACTGAAACTTTCAAAAGTTAGTTTTTTACACATAAGATACATTTAGAAGAGCTCACAATCCTTCATTTAAAGTTTCCAGTCAATACGGACAGTTGCTGCAAAGACTTGGTGTGAATTCTAACGCCATCACCGCAATAAATTCTGACTGTCATTCTTCATAGTAACCGTAGGCCTATGCACATATTTAATTATTGTTAAATATGGTGTGAATGCATGCATCAATGCCTATAACCATTACGAAGTGATTTCGAAGAACGCCCATAATCTTTAACAGATAATGTAGTATGGTACGTTGTTGTGGTGAAGTTCAAAAAAGAAGACGGTCCAAAGTCGATTTAAGAAATTTTAGCTAATAAAGTGGTCTTGAATACTATGACTTATTGCAATTATTAAGCAAACATATTGGATACATTAAGAAATTAGCACGATAGCTTTCTCGAATTTAAACTGAAGAACAAAAAAAAGCCGTAGGCGTTTAGCGCTCAGAAGCTGCTTATTTATCCCTTAAGACCAGACAAAAAAAAATCAGCAACAAAAATAATGACGTTAATTTATTTCAACAAAGCCGAACAGACAGATTGTTGAATTATAGACGGAAATATTCAAAAATTTGTTGTGAAACCATTAAAGAAGGAACTGAAATTAATATCTGTTTTATATGACTTGACAAAATTGTGGTTTGGTTCAATATATCTATTTCTGAAAAATATGAATCTACTAACACTACAACAAAAATTGTTTATTACTCTAAAAATGTTCAATTAGGCATCAAAATTTGACAAATTGAGAGTAAATCTAGATTGGATCCAGATTCACCAATCGAAAACGGTATAAGAAACATAAATAATACAAATGTGGTGGCACCAAAAAATAGTGCAGACAACTGTCTGAAATCTCTCTTTGCTACTCTCCTTCATGAAAACATGAAGGCAGTAGCAATTTCTCAAAAGATATAACATGGTAAGCAATATGGACAAGTCTTGATGGAAAACATAAAAATACAAAATTTTACAATGATGCTGGGATGTAAAATTAATGATACTTTGAAAACTTTATTAAAAAAACATGTGTATTAGGATAGTCTTGGAAATAGAACCGGCAAAGAAAATTTTCGGGTAGATAAGGAAAATGATAATGGCAATAAAGTTGAAATCAAAAGCACAAGATATTTATAAGCTAATGAATTGAAGAAGTCAGCGCAACGATACGTACAAACAAAGTTTCGAAATGGGTGCTCTTACAGTTGCACTAAATAACGTCTCGACGATTCAGAAAGATGTTTTAGTGAATTAAAACAAATTTTTTGCACCGATATGTAACAAAAAATAAAACATGTTTCACCACCGCGATGTTGTATCAACCAATGAAAGCCGTTTAAAGCGGCGACAGCTAGAATATACACCCCTATTCTGAATTAAATGGGAATGGCAGTTTTTTTCCTTATTCCCAATGGGAGTTTTTTTTACCTTTTTTGTACCAAATTTTTCCCAATCAAATTGTGTGGGAGATAAGTTAAAAAAAAATTAAAAAGAGTTTAATTTAATATGTAAGTAACTAATAATGATTTTCGATTTTCAATATATTTTAATAAAATTATTAATATAAAAATTTTATAATTATAATAATTTTGGGTTTGCCTTATATTTTTATTTAATTAGTGACAACAACCAAAGCACTTGCCGTGCTTTAAATTAGAACGAGCTTATAAACTACAGCTTTATTTTGGAAACACAAGTTCAACGAATTGAAAGTTTAACTTTTTGGGTTTGCCTTAATAATAATTTTGTATATAATAAATTTAATATATTTAAATTTTTATTTATTTATTTTATCTAAATGAGTTGAACATTTCTTTTCGAATTTATTTTAATAAAATTATTATTACAATAAAATTATTATTATAATAAAATTATTATTATAATAAAATTAATATATTTAAATTTGTATTTATTTATTTTATCCACAATTTCCATTATTTATTTATTTTTCCCACAAATTAAAGTGTAAACTATTATTATTTAAAATAATTGAATAATGAAAGCAATTCATATTCTACAATGAATAGGATTTTTTGAATACGATGTCCAATATTATGACTCATAATAATGAGATGATCGTCCACTAAAACAAGTGGAGAATTTGACAATGTTAGATGAGATCAATGACAGTACAAGTACAAGTAGAAGTAGACTCAAATAGCCTTACTGCGATTGGCAGAATAGCAGAATTAAAATTAAACGATCAAAATTTGACGCAGCAAAAGAATAAGAAAATGAAATTTTCCTTCAATATAGTTGTTAAGATGAGCATACAATTGAATGAGCTTGATTGGCTAACTGAAATCTCGTAAGCTTATCCACATTTTTTAGTTAGATACAAAATACTTGTACTACATCACTAAAGTACAACTTTAAGCAAAAAATGAAAGTGACCCGTTCATCTGTTTTAAAGTTATTTGTAATTTAATTAAATTTTAGCAAAATTGAGTTTTCGGAAAAATTGAGCCAACTTTAACCACATCTTTTTTTTTTACTATTCATCGAAAAATATTATTTTTGTGTTTTAAACCTTACAATTAAAATCTGCCTTTAATTATTTATTTGTTATTTTTGAAAAATATGATATAAAGCAAATTTAATTATTATTTCTTTAGCTTTATTTTAATAGGCGAATATATATAAAGTATGCATTATATGACGGATAACATATCCGTCAGGCTGATGATTACATACTTAAATAAGAAAAATGCAGCATATCGTTGCTGACGTCTTTTGTTGTGACACGTCTTATGACGTGAAAAGTACTGATGATGAGTACTTGGCAATACTCAAGATCAAATTTGGTCAGCCAAATTTCAATAAATAAAATAAAAACTTTTGTTGTTATCTTTTCATTCCTATTTAAACCCTTCTAAAAATAGTTATTTTGCACAAATACTTGCACAAAAAACGGAAATAAATTGTAAATTGTACAAAATTACGTATAGATTGAATAAACACAAACTTTTATGTTGTTTTTTAAAAACGTAAGAACTTTTTTATGTATATTTGTTTAACAGAATGTAAACAGAATAGGATATAAAAGATACTTATGTAAATCATAGTAATGTAATGATTAGGAATACGTTAAGGTAATGAAATTATTTTTTAATATATCACTTGAATATCATAAAGATTCTACAAATCAAACTACTGAAAAGTCTTGAATTAAGGTAGAATGCAAAATAATTAAGTTAATAAAATGTTATTAAATTTTTAATTAATACATACTTTTTATTCCACTATCCGATATCATGATGAATTCAAATTTAGCGGCTACGTAAGCTGGTTGCATATTATTAATTTTCGGATTTACGCCAACATTCGAACTACCAATAAAAAGCGAAGCATCTACTTTTGGATATTTGCTCATTAAGCCTTGTACCACTATTGTAGCTGGATCGTCCTTATCCTCGATACAAAAAAGCAATTCATACTAAAAGTAAATAGTTAAAAAAATTCAAAATGATTTGTTGTATCTTACCACAGGATAATCCATTGTAAAAAATGTTTCAAGGTTATGTTCTAAATTTGGATCTACACCCATAAGTGGCTTAATAATTGAAACTGCAGTTAGAGGAGTTTCTGTAGGAAATTTGCAAACCTTTTTATTAAGTTTATATTTTCTGAAAAAATTTAAAATATTATTTTTATATATAAATATATGAAAAGATGAAATCAATAATGATCACTTAAAGTCACATATAAAGATTCTTCTAAATCGTTTTAATAACTTTTGTGAATATTTATAATTTAACACATTTAAATAATTTTTGTATATTAATTTCTTATAACTTATAAATGTTTTTTTACTAAAATATACAACAAACTGAGGATTGTAAATTCTATTTAACCGAATGGATTATTTATCTATTTAAAAACGTTAACCTATTTTACTTTTTAAAAATAATCTAAATAATATCTTGTTGAATAATTGGATACTCTATTTTTTACTAAATGAGTTTTACTAAATGAGAAAATTACTAAATAAGACATTTTTTATTTACTACTTATTGTAGGATGTATTGTATTATTATTGTAAACAATTTATCCAATATTTCCCTTTCTGCAACAACGCGACAGAATCAAACGCTACAATATCAAGCAAATTAAGCATTTAATTCAACGCGTGGTAAATACTACAAGAGTTAATAGAGATCAGTATACAGCCTTTTGTCGCATATATATTAAAAATTGAAACATAGCTACGACTACAAAAATATTGATAGTGTTTTATTAATTATTTTATTTATTATTATTAATAGGTGTAGTAAAAAGAAATACATTTTTTTTACATGAAATTGAAGGCTTCTTTACCATAGTTACAAAAAATTTCATTATGCCTCTCACATAGAAGTTCTCGTACCTATTGAAAAAAAATTAAGAAAGTAGATTTTCACAAGTCTCTCTTGAATCAAAGTTTTCAACAGAAAAATCGTTCGCCATGGACAGGAACAGATGGCAATCACTTGGTGCCAGGTCTGGACTATAAGATGGATGCATAGGAACTTCCCAACCAAACACTTGGGTTGCTTTCTACATCCTGACTTAATGTTGGGATCTTGAGCATTGAGATAAGTCACGTTCGAAATGGGGTACTCTATCTCTAAAACGAAAATTGGAAGGGATCTTTTTTTTGACGTTGTTTCAGATGTTTGACGATTTTTTGCATAAATTACCGGTGTACCGGGCTGTATTCGAACAAGAGGAGATGATATCACTCTTTTTTCGTACTTATTATTGAATTTCGTAGAGGATTATCTACAAAAAAAGGTAATTTAAGAATTTTTTTCTTCTTGTTTAGCTGTTTGGTCTTCTTTTTCACTACGAATCCTTCAAATCTATTCAAATTACTGAGCCAGTAATTTAACTTTCGTTGCTTTGGCTTTTTCATTTTTTCAGGACATTCTTATTTTCTTTCGTTGAGGATATTCAAGAGTGGGCGGACGTTCTCAACTTTATCTACAAAAAAAGGTAATTTAAGTTTCGTTGCTTTGGCTTTTTCATTTTTTCAGGACACTCTTACGATTTAATATTACTAAATGAGATATCAGCAAAGTCGAAATTACTTTATTTTGTTTATTCATTGTTTTTGTATCTTCTGATGTACTACTTGTATTAAGCTCTTGTTTAGTTCCATCCGCTGGTGAGTAATCGCTTTTTACCTTTATTACCGAAGGTGGTAATAAAGACCAACACTTATCTTTATTAATTTTAAAAAACATTTAATACTTTTCGTGAAAATTAAAATAGTTTTATGGTGCTTTCTACTTATTTTATAAAGCCATAGTTGTGAAAGAAATTTCATTTAATTCAGTTGCTGACTTTAAAATGCCCATTTGCAATTCTATTAGTGATAATGCATAAAACATATATAAAATAAAATAAGTTACTATTATATGCAAAAGAAAAGAATTAATTATCTTTCGAATCTTTAAGGAAATTTGCCTTTTTCAAAAAAATTTTTTTTTATGTTGGTACACCCTTTCTTGACGTATGGTACAAATTTGAGCGCCATCTGTCAATTAGTTTGTTTACAGCAGCTGTTAATGTGAGACTAACTCAAGTGCATTTAGTGATTTTTACTATGGAAAATTCAGTTGAACAACGAGTTTGTTTGAAATTTTGTGTTTTGAAGCATTGAAAATGGTTCAAAAAACTTAAGGAGACTCTTCTATGTATCGAACACAGGCATACGAGTGGTATAAATCATTCAAAGAGGGTCGTGAAGTGATCGAAGATTTGCGTTATTCTGGACGTCCATCAACATCAAATACCGAAGAAAAAGTGACAAAAATCAAGAAAATTGTGCTGGAAGATCGTTGTATGACTGAAAGGAAGATTGCTCGTGACTTAAACATCTCAAATGGGTGCAGAATAATCCTGATTGAACATTATTTTTTTTTTTTTTGTTTGAAATAATTATTAATTAACGCCATAAAAGAACATTAATTTATTTTGGTCTAGTAAGACATACCAATAATACTCTTGAATTTTAGTTTTCTGGTTACATACAGTGAAAAGATTTGTCTTTGCTACCAAAGTGTTTTAATGAAAAATTAATTTGTATGCTCCAAGCTAAAAGTGAACTGCAGAAATTTTTAAATTTGTGAAGTGAGCCAAGAAGCATTACATTGACAGATGGAGTAGCAAGTTATATCAAAAAGGAGATAAGTAAAAACTGACATACATGATCTGTGATTGCCAACAGATCATTTTTTTTTGTAAAAACGAGCTGTTGCTGGTAGGCGCTGAGCTGGAAGTTGGTGTGCGGAGTCTGTTGCAGTTTTTTTGACGTACTCAACGGTATTGAAGATATACCTTGTGATCAAAAAAGAACGAGAATTCCCGCGGTTATCCAATCGGTAAGTTCTTTTATTTTCACGCTGGCAACACTATTATACACATTCTGTCAAAGTTTAACGCTTATCGTACGATTAGTTTTTGTTTGGCGTCTATACAAAGTCGAAAAATTTTCGTGTAGCGATTTTTAGCTGAATTTCATTCAAAAAAACGTCGTTGTGATGTGGTCAAAGAGATGATCTCCAACGCAGATAGTGACCCCACATTCATCGAACGCATCATAACTGGTGATAAGACATGGGTCTATGAATTTGACATGTTTTGAGACCATATGTTAGAGGCCATAAAAGAGAATTCGCTGCATGAACTAAAGGCCATACCTTCGACGGTCTATAAAATTTGTATGGAAAATTGGATCAAGCGTTGGCATGTATGTATTGCCGCAGGAGGAGAGTACTTTGAAGGCGATAATAAAGAAAATTATTAGAATTAAAATTTTGTTTTTTTTTAATTCTCGTTCTTTTTTGATCATAATGTATTTATGTATAAAAAAGAATAGCGGAAGACCAACGGGGCTCAAGAAGCTGTAATCTATCACCTGAAACGGTACTCAAAAGAAAATAACAGGTATTTTTTTTAAATGATACGTTATTACGAATGTAGTACTTTGTTAACGGTCATGGTGATCATCCTCCAGAATTTTTTTTGAACGGCATACTAATATTTGAAATGCGGAATATATATATTAAAATTCTTCAGATTTTTTTTTTGTTTTTTTTAATCAGAAATTATTTTTTTTTTGATAATTATATTTAAAAGTAAATAATTAATAATTCCACACTTGTGAAGTTATGATCTAATTTTTTTTTCTTTTTGAGCGTTTGAATATAGTATTTTTTTTTTTTTGATATATTAAAATAATAAAAAAAGAAATAAAGGAGAATAATGCCCTAAAAATATATATAACGTCCGAGTATTAATGATTACCGATTCTTTTTTCTTTTGAAATTTTTTTTTGTACATATATATATTTATAAAGGTTTTTTCTATTAAATATATTATATAATATATAACTATATAAATTGTACGAACTATGCCTAGTTTTTTTTTTAAAGAGAAACAAAAATCTTTTTTTTTTCTTTTTTTTTTGTTTATAAATAAAATTTCAACTAGATACGGCAATAGCTATAGTGACAACATTGCAGCGACTGAAACTGATTTATTTTGTTTATTGTTTTTATTATTTCTGTTTATTATGCAATTTTTTTATTGATATTTTTTTTTTCTAATTATAATTAAACATACGAGTTTCCGAGAGAATTGTTTTTGTTTTTTTTGATATAATACACAAAAGTCTGACTAAAGTCTTTGACATTCGTCAGGCTATTGTTTTTTTCAGTATATTTTTTTTTCGCATTATTGGTTTTTTATCTTAGAGAGAAAGTAAAAATAGAAACACTTTAAAATTGTAAAGTTATTTATATTAACCTAAGAACTCTGAACAAAGAAGAAAATTCTCTGTACATATATGTTATAATTATGAATTATGAATCCTTACGCATTTATAATCCAAGAAATGGTTTTTGTTTTGTATTTTTTTTTTATATAAAAAAAATTATATTAATATAATATTCATTTAATTTTGTTAAAAAAATTCGCACTGAAAAATTGTTTTAGTTTTATATACATATTTTTTTGAAAGAAAAAAAAATTTTGTAAACATAATTATATAATTATTTTTGTATGATAGTTAACTAAGTAATTTAAATAAAAAGAATTGTTATTCAAATTAATAAAACCTAAATATTGAACGCTTTTTAAATTTAATATATGAAAAAAGGAGTATATGATAGAGTTTTATGTTACAGAAAGGTAAAAAGGGTTGTTTTTGTTTCCTATATTATTATATAATTACTAGTCAAATGAACAGCATGTCCGGCTAGGGTTATTATAAGCTCTAAAAGTTGTACAGGGATATGTCATGAGGTATGCGTACGATTAAAATGAAGTAGACTACTTGTGAATATAGAACAGGTGACAGGACTGAAAGACCGAGAAAACTTACTGAGGGGGGGATAGTTGGATTCAGAGTGTATGAATGTAATCAATGGCAAAAGTACCACGTCTCAGTCGGTTACTATGAACTCACTTATAAATATATATAGAATTTGTCAATGGCACGATTTTTTTATTTTTGTTTAATGTCAGTGGTGGCCAATAGTTCCCAAGAACTTACACCACAAAACCGGCAAACATACCGGGCCTGCCAGCGTGCCATGCTAGGCTTCTAGAACCACCCTTATTACAACAAGGCTGACACAACATTTTATATGCAAACACCTTTTTGGGAAAATGCAAAAAAGTCTTACATATATGAAAAATATAATTGCGGTGTATATATTAAGTAGCATTAGAGTAGATTGAGATTGACCACAAAAATTGAATGATAAAATAGATAGCATGAAACAACAAAAGCCTAATAGACCTTCAGAATAAACATAGAAAACACCTCGGTTAATTACAAAACTCAATTATGAACTAAAGCATTGAACATACTAAACATACAATAGAGCCGGAATGAGATATCGTAATGTTAACAAACTGACAAACTGAGAGTTAATGTTTTCATGGCGCCCCAAAAAATACTCGTCGTGCCGTGTGTACTAGGGTCATAAAAGCATCCGGACGGAGGAGAAGTAAGCAATTTCGATTCTTTATGTTAAAGTAAGAAATCTGAGTAGTTTATTATTCTATTATCTGCCTGAATGCCAGTACATATATCATTAAAGAATTTCGTGTAGCACCATATTTCCCAACTTAGAGTCGTATGAGTAGCGCCGTTATAAAAAAAAAAGAGGAAGGGTATTTGGCATTAATGAGAAATAATTAGTGCATTTCGTAAAGCAATGGTGACGAAAATAACGCTTGTGAATTTATATATTAATTTGTAATTCGAAAAACGAACTCGGTGACACTGCGTTTTATTTTTGATTCTGCAAAAATAGCTAATAATCGAAATAAGAAAAATGGTGGTTATTTTAGAATTTTTAAATAGAAGCAAAGCCTACAAGTTATGCGTCGAAAAGTAAAAGACAAATGGTGAGTTTATTATTATTATATCAACTAAAAAATGTATGCTTTATCAAGCCTCTGAAAACACACTTTTTGTTGCTCTATCTTCATGATACAATATGCCTACCACTTTGCTTAAATATTTCATATATAGATTCAGAATTATTTCTCGTTGGTTATTCGGCAATTATCAGAAGAAGCGCGAAACTTCATAATGAAATGTTGAACTACATTTTAATTTGTTTTTTATAATTTTTGTTTAAATTACTTCAAGTATGTATATGAAGTCGAAAACGTCCCAAAAAAACCCATTTATTTTAATTATATCTGCAGTTCTAGGCGAACACGATTACCGATAGTGATAAACATGATGAATCACCAGAATAAAATACTATTAGGTGTACTCATATAAAACAGTATAAACGGCAACCGCGCTAAGCTCAAATATGAGTAAGTAAATACATGAATGCTTGCTGAAACATAGAAATTATCTTAGTAGCATTTTTTCTATTAAATTGCTTTTTTTACAGCAAAAAGTATTTTCTTCTTTGACGCAAAAAATCAGCTGTTTTTTAAATGCACAGTGTGCAATTGCAATGAAGCCAATTGCGCACCAATAAGGTCGCGCATTTGAGCTCCAATAGTGCATTTCATTTTTCATACAAATTTTTATTGATAGTTTCTTTTTGTTTATGATAACAAGAAAACTTCTACGATAAAAAATCTAGAAATACATTTATCACTTATATAATTATAATAAGAAAATATCTCAATATAGCATTTTAATTATAACTGCCTTGATTGCATTGATTAAGTACAAATACTTTCACATTTATTAGTTTCATTACAAAACGACTCAAAGAATATTTGTTGTACCATAACAGAAATATCAATATCAGCTAATATTCTTTTAGTATTATAAATTGTTGCTTATTTAAACTATTATTTCATTGCCTCATATACGGAATACCGTGTTATAGTTATATTCAGCACAGGATTAACAACATTTAACAAATATACACTGTTTTGATTTTTTTCTAAGTGTTCTAGTATTTACACAAGATTCAGAATAACAATCACTTACCCATAACATATTGCTAATATGTGAACAAACCATGTACCGCACCAAAATATTAACAATATTGCAGCTAAGCCATATAATGGAGATAGCCTTAGAATTTGCATTGTACCATTTAATATATAATTAACTTGCACAAGATATTAAAAAACATCGTTTTGTTTTTAAAATACCAGTTCTTGATACAGTTCTTCTTTGAAGAAACATTAAACTTTTTGTGGAATATTGTCACACTCACTTCCCATATATAATATTATGACTAGGGTTGATTACTAATATTTACTTCTATCACTAAACTTTTGTGGAACAATGATAATGAAACAATTTAGTTCCATATGGGAAGAAAATATGATAGCGGTATATAAAGGGCAATTCGTGTTATATTAAATTTATAAAATTGAAAGCCACTACTGAGTTAATTTACATTAACGGTACTTGTAATTTAACATTTATTTTCCTGCCTTCGAATCACCTGTTATCTTAGCTCGACGAACTTATTTTATAATAAGTCGATTTATATAACATGAAAATGCAATTAAAACTATACAAACACTAAATATTGGCTTCGTAATTATCCAATATAGCATTACCACATATAATTGTTTAGTGTTTATTTGACATAGCTACTAGCGCGAAATTAAGCGCTTTCGTTTCCTGAATATATATGTTTTAATTTTTCATTTGTATAGATATCAATAACATAACATTATCTCTGATAAATTTAATTTAGTGATGCCATGGGATTGCTTATTTAAAATATTACATCTAACCGAAGACCGTAATACGGCGTTTACATTGGCCGAAAATGGCTCATTTTGAATGACTCATTTGAAAGTGTTTACATTCGTTGTATTTCATTCGTTCTCATTTCTCAACAGCTGATTTGTGAATGTAAATTTTATTTGACATTTGAAGTAGTAATTTATTTTGTTTAAATTTACATTTGTTTACAAAAATGAACAATCAACATAAAAAAGTGATTATTGCAGAACAATTAAATTATTTACAAACAATAAAAGCTATTGTAATCACATTAACAAGTAGTATAAATAAAGCGAAACGAAAGCAAAAAAACAAAAAAATAAAAATGCAATTGTTAATGAATGCACTAGTAGCCCAAGTAGAACCTGTGCCAAAAAAATGTTGGATGAAGGTAAAATATATAACATAAAAGTAAAAAATATATAATATAAACTGAAAACTTATTTTTTAGCTCCGATTAAGTACTTTTTGGGAAGAAGAAGTTCCAAAAAGAGATGCATCGTTTTTCAAGGAAAACTTCAGAATGACAATGGACACTTTTAAAGAGTTATGCGATTTAGTCAAAAGTATGAAAAAACAAAACAGTAACTTTCGCAGACCAATTCCATTAGAGAAGAGAGTTGCCATTGCAGTGTACGCACTTGGCTCATCCGCGGAGTACAGAACTGTGGGCAACCTTTTCGGAGTGTCCAAATCATCTGTATGCATAATCCTTAAAGAATTTTGCACTGAAGTCTGGAAAATAATGCAACCAATTTATTTAAACCAGTACCCCTTAAATGAAGCAACAATTCGTGATTGCATCAATGGTTTTAATATATTAGGGTTTCCACAATGCATTAGTGCTATAGGTAACTCAATATCCAATGTGGAAATAAGTGTGTAAATTTTTTGTTTCAGACGGTTGTCACATTGAAGTGCATCCTCGAAAGAATGGACCGCTTTGTTAACTGACAACGATCCAACATCTGAAAATATAAGATCAGCCATTGCTACATTTTTAGGTAATCTTTTTTTTATTAATATTACTAATTACTGTTTATCCTTAATATTACTAAATTAATATTACTTACTATACTGTACTTAATATGATTTATTATTATACTTAATACTAATATAAAAATATTTATATTACATAATACGGTATGCTAGCAGTGCTATGCTTACTATACTATAATTATTTACATATTATTATTTTTTATTTAAAACTTCTAATAAAGATTGCTGGTAGTTTTCACAGTTATTGACCAATCTCTCCAGCAAATCGTTTCGCCGCTCTTCAATACGCTGCCAGTTACTCTCATTTCTCTTATCTTCCTCCCTCATTAATTGTAACTCCTGTAAAATGCTGTCTGTTTTTCTTCTCTTTGCAGATGCTCCAAAAGATGTTGTTTCAACCGCAGCAGTGGAATTTGTATCTGTTGAAGAGTTAAGTTGCTGCAGTGGAGAAGCTGCGTCTGCGTCATAAAGAAAATCAACTGACTCGAACAATGGACAAAAACTTGTGTCTTCATTTGATTCCAAAGCTGCTGGCTCGGCCAATGAAGTAATGTTTGAAACTACAATATTACTTTACTTATTATAAATTCAAGAAAAATATTATAATTACCATACCGTTATCTTCGTGTCCAGTTTCATCCATCAATGTTTCGACGTTGTGGATTTTAAAACTGCCTAATATGGCATGTACCTTATGGTACAGCGGCCAAGTAGATGGAGATCCACCCGACATGCCCATCGCTGCCTTTTCTTTTCTATAATATATTTTAGGTTTCATATTAGTTAATAAATTTAATTGTATAAATAGAAAATTTAATTTATGTAACCTAGTAAATAAATAAATAATATACTTTATGTATAATTTAAATTAATACAAAAAACGTAATTAAATTTACCTATACTTGCTCGTCAAGTTATTTATTTTGTTCGAAATTCCTTTAACCGACACCTCCATTCCACGCAATGAAAGCTTTTGTTGAAATTCTTTATAAATGTGGCTATTTCTCCTATTGCCACGGAGGTTTTCTATATCTTCCTCCCAAAGTTCACACAAAATGTTTTCCGCCTCGAGCGGCCACACAACTTGTTTTTTTTTCAGTAATTTTTCGCTGCTCATGGTTGGTAACAATTCAAACTGAAATAAAACAACTAAACATTTGTTTATCTTTTTTATAAATATGTCAAAACAGCTTTTTCAAACTGTCAAAATGCCATGAAGAGCTTTCATTTAGGGTATGTTCAATAGATTCCTTTGCATTTGGAACATATGTGGAATGCATTCGAACGTCATTCATACAGAATGTGAGAAAATTCCTCATTTTGTGCTTGAAATTTTATATGCAAGAATGAGGCATTCGATACTCATTTTCGATTTTTGACCAAAATGACCCATTTTCGGCCAATGTAAACGCCGTATAACAGTTGTAGTGGTTTATTACGTTTACTTTTTATTTCGGTCCTCACACTCTTTTGTTGAAATGAATATCTTTATTTGTTTATTATAATTATTTATTATAAAATATTATTAAAGTTAAGATTTTTGTTTATATATTTATTTAACATATTCTCTATATTCCAAATAACTACGACAAAGACTAAAGACTAATGGCGGGAGATGCGGATATTGTTATCTCTTCTCTGCATTGTTGACAGCTCTTTATACATATTTTTGGTGCTGCCACATACTCCACCCTAAGTGATGAAGTCACTGAATTTGGTTGGAAAACGAACGTTGCGTCAGCTGTTGTATTTGGTCGCACAGACTGGTCGCAATTAACGTTGTTTAGAGTGTGGTATACCATTGATTTGTTGTGGATGTCAATGTCTGTATCGGGACATATGAAAGCAGCTTTCAGACGATCTATGCTGACTGTTTGTTCTTTGTTTTCGATCAGTATTCTAAACGTCTTGTCACTCCGCTCTAGTATTTGGTAATGGCCAGCGTAAGGTTGCGTCAATGGTGGTTTTACCTTGTCATTTCGTATAAATGCATGCGTGGCTTAGCTTAGAGCCGGTTGTATGTGGTAACCTCGGTCTGTATGATGCGATACCAAAGTTGACTTGACGCTTTGCATTTGTTTTCTTAGCTTGGTTATGAAATCGTGTTGATTTATATTTCTGTGGCTAAGGTTACTTACTATTTCGCCCGGTAAACGTAGTGTTTAGCCATATAGCATTTCAGCAGCAGAAGCTCCAATGTCTGGTTTAAAAGTCGTGCGTAGACCTAACAATACTATTGGTAAAACTTCTGCCCAAGAAGTTGTTTGGTGGCACGTTAAGGCTGCTTTTAATGTGCGATGAAATCGTTCCACCATTCCGTTACTTTGAGGATGGTAACTCGTAGTTCGTAAGTGTTTGCACTCGATAACTTCAGCTAGTTGGCTAAACAATGAAGATTCAAATTGTCTCCCTTGGTCTGTTGTGATACGTAAGGGTACGCCAAAACGTGGGATCCATTGCGTAATTAGTGCGTTTGCGATAGTTTCCGTTGTTTGATCTGGAATCGGAATTGCTTCTGGCCATCGGCTGAAACGGTCGATGATGGTTAATATATATGTGTTTGATGGCGGTAGCGGGCCGACGATGTCTATATTTATATGTTCGAATCTGTGTTCAGCGAGTTCATATTGACAAATAGATGAACGGTTGTGACGTTGCACTTAAGAATTCTGATCGCAATCCTTTACAAGAGCTACAGCTACACGAAAAACATCTGATTACATACTCGACAGGATTGGTGGGAACCTCATCGGATCTGTACCTCATGAACCAACATCAACAGACACCTCGATAGCAGGTACAAGATATCCTACCACAATAAGGTCAACAAAACGATTAAATAATGGAAACTACTGCAAGACAAGCATAGGTGATTCAAGAAATGCAAAGTATTAGCCAATTATCTCAGCAACTATTACCATCTTATACACAAGAAGTTTTGGTAAAAGACATCATTCAACAAGAACAACTACCGCAGTTACATCTAGAGAAAGTTGGTTCTCCTCATCTGAATAGAAAAAATAACAGATTATTCAATCAAGTCAGAAAATGTTGTGATATACCTCAGAAACCATCTAGTTTAAAAAATCGACAACGGCAAGTGAAAGGCCGAAGTAAACTTCAACAGGATTGCGATCAGAATAACACAGATCCAAAGAAACAAAACAGAAATTATGCTAACAGGAAGTGCGTCCTGTCATAGTTCACTTTCCTGAAGAAGGAGGGAAATGTCAAAATGGAAATTTTCACATATTTCCACCCTACATAAATTTATTTATTTTATAAAAATAACAACAACACAATACTAGTACCTACAAAAGAAGTTTTAACTATGTTACACATCGCAGTAAGCTACATTTAACACTCAAGACATAATTTGATTTCACTCACTGTGGAATTTCAGTATAATCTAAAATAAAATAAATTGGATTTATTGAATATATATTTTATATTAAAAAATTTTATATAGGTAATTATATTCAATATATAGGTAATATATTGAATTCATCTGAAATTATAATTACAATTAACAATAAATAATGAAGTGTGTTTAAATAAATGAAGAATATACATACCTAATTTATACACTATTTATATATTTATTTTATTATAAAACACGTTTGTAAACAACACAAGAAACGTCAAAGCGTGAAAGCTTTTGTTGAGCAAAATACAAAGAATGGTGAATGTAAAAACACACGAAAATAGAAAACACAGAAATTACATTAAAACCAAATCATAGCTTTCGAAAGGAAGGTGCTGATAACGATTTATGGTCCCATTCGCTTGAACCACGAAGAACATCGTCAAACATCGTTTGTAACGGTAAATATGTTGTTAAATTGGTAATGTCACAGCGCTTGAGATGGATCGGCACGTCACGAGAATGACGGAAGATAGACCACAAAAGCGAATACTCCATTTCAGGCTGCACAACGACCGCAGAAGAGATAGACCACGTATTAGATGGCTCGACAACGTGTTCGACGACATCAGAAAAATGGGTATCCAAAATTGGAAGTCTAAAACAATATGCAAAGCAAAATGGAGAAAGCTGGTTGATGCAGCTAAAACTCACCCCGAGCTGTAACGCTGATGATATCATATATATAGTTTTCGATTAATTAATTTCGATTTGAAGATAAAAAATATTAAATAAATTTTTATGATTTGTTGGGCATAATTACTTTACATTGTTTTATTGTACAAACTGTATGTGTATAATATGTTGTGTTATTTTATGGTACTCTATGTGATGTGATGCTAAGTGAGGTTACGCTATGTAGCCTGAAATGATGTTAATTCGTTGGTGCTGTTACGGTGGCACAATATTGACAGCTGACTGCATTACATTCACTGTGCTGTCATCGTTAGTTTTGTTTTGTACGCAAGGTTGCATTTGTACTGTTGTAAATGACTTTCTAACATGATTAATAACTATTTTTTTTATAAGTTATTAAATATTTTTTTATTATAGTTATTCATGCAAATATTAAATGTATGTTTATATAATTAATAGTTAATTTTATTATTGAATGAATATTTTCCCGTTATATTATTCTTACAATCTCTATTATATCTTTTTACATAATTTTCTTACGTAAAATGATTGTTTGTTTTAGATCTACGCTTGACTTTCTACCACTAAGAATATTGATTATAGCAGTAGAGCAAGTGGAATATTTCTGCATTCGGTTTTGTTTGATCGCTGCATAAACATGTATAGTTTTGAGTACAAACTCTTTTGTATATATAAATTAATAATTTAATTTATATAATATGTTATTTTGTTAATGAATTGTTAAATGTTATATTGTGAATATATTGTTGCCTAATGTAATATAGTTATTATAAATAAAACATTCATCTATGTTATTTTAGTTTATCATTTTTGATTTAAGCAGTACACGTAAAAACAACATTGTAGAAGGACCACACACCCTTTCAGATAGAGCACGCGTCGTCATTGGTACGATCCCTAATAGTTATTGGGGGCATATATATTTAAATCGCCTTCTAGTCGAAAAAACAGCCATATTGTATTCCTAAATAGGAAATGCTCTGACGAGGTATTGCATAATTGTTCAGTGACTATAAGAATGATGAGAACTAGAATAATGTGTTTTAGCGAGCACATCTTCTTCGTATAAAAAAGTCTACTACATTTCTCAAACCATTGAGTAGATAGAATGATATATTCATAATTCAGAGTTCTTGGGTGTGATATGTGGAACTGTACCTTATACTTCTTTTTCATTCTATTGCGTTCCCAGGTGTGGCCGAAAAAAAAAATAGAATGCTAATAGAGATGGCGACGTGTATGATAAAGTAAGTAGGAGCGCCACAATCGTTTGGCAGAAACTATTAATACAAAAATCGTTGTGTGACAAAAACGACGGAAGAAGTCCCGTGAAAAATATGTGTAGGAAGAATATAGTTCTATGAAAGTTTTCTATAGTTCACTATAGTTCATATGAAAGTTTTCGGTTCCAAAGTACACGCGTTAAATAAAAGACCTACGATAGGCAAAATTGACTCTCGCCCCGAACCATGTATTTTTCCCGGATACTCGTTTAAATCGAAAGCTTGTCGATTATATTCAAAGAGAACACGTGACATGATTATTAGCTGAGATGTAAAATTCATAAATGGGCCCACTTTTAAATGTGATAATTGAAAAATATTTGAAAACGATACTACGCGTCCAGATATATCATACTCTGTTAATTTCTTGAGACAATTTAATTCCAATTACACAATAACACTGGATGGCAGCAAAGCAAAGACGACATAGCACTATTGTTTTTCATTCGAAAAAAAAAAACTAAACAATGATGTACAGGGGATCCGTGTTGTCGGTTGGGGATCCTACTCTGGCTACTCATTTATATTTCCTGCTGCTGTCAGCTGACAAGCTCACAAACAACGAACAATATACTTTCCAGCATTATAAACGAATTTATTAAGGACCTCGTATCAGCTATCAAAAATTTTAAATATTTGGCCAATGCGCCGCTCTCTTTGTATCATTCTTATTTCACTATTTCTGTCTATTATTATGAATAAAAAGTCTAAACAAATGTCTATTTTTACATAAATTCAAAGTGCTCACCATTAATTTTTTTGTTATATATGTTTTATACATATATTATATATTAATATAGAGAAACTTTATTGAGTGCCAGCTTTTGCTAATAATCTGTAGTATTTTGTATTTATATTTATTTATAAATCGCAAATTTGTTTAAAAATTTTTACCTGTCATATTATTTATTGATTTAAGCAGTGATGCCAACTTGTTCTTAAGCAACCAGAAGTTGTTCTATTGGAGCAGTCATGTTTAAAGATTACACCTTATATGGCGTTTACATTGGCCGAAAATGGCTCATTTGGAATGAAAATGTTTACATTCGTTGTAATTCGTTTGTTCTCATTTCAAACAGCTGATTTTTCAACTTGCCAGTTGATTTGATTTTTGGCCTATGCCAAAAAAATGTTACATGAAGGGTAAATATACCTTCATATCTTAATATAAACTTAAAACATATTTTTAACTTCGATTTACTACTTTTTGGGAGTTGAAGTTTTAAAAATAGGTGTATCGTTTTCTAGAAAATGCAACCACCAAACATTTATTTACCTTTTTTGTAAATATGTTAAAAACAGCTTTCTAAAACTGTCAAAATACCATGAAGAGCTTTTATTTAGGGTATGCTTAATGTATTCCTTTGCATTTGAAACATATTTGGAATGCATGCGAACATCGTTGGGATGCATTCATACAGAATGTGATGGAATGGCTCATTCGCACTTTAAATTTTATTTGCAAGAATGAGCCATTCGCTTCTCATTTTCGATTTTTGACCAAAATGGGCCATTTTCGGCTAGTGTAAATGCCGTATTATCCTTTTTGCAAGAGTTTTGACCAATTTTGTAACCAAGTCAATGAGTGCCAGCTTTAGCTAAGTAAGATACTTCCTACAGATTTTGCGATTTCCGAAGCCACTATTTTTTACCAAGAATGTTTTGTTCGGAAATCGCTCTTTCTTTTTGTTTATATATCCTGTTTTAACACTATTAATCGTAATTTTTTCTTTTAGAATTTTAATAGCATTAGTAATTAAGCATTGAAACAAATTGTCATAACTTTTAAAATTTATTAAAAGCTTATTTTTGATATATATTTTTTGTTGTGTAGTAAACAATAATAGGCATTTTCAGTGGCTCGCAAGTATGACAAAAAATGCATGCTAGCCTATATTGGTTACGCGAGGCATTGGCTTCACTGTTGTAATCTGTCAAGTGTTACGTTTTGACAAATAGCAAAAATAACATAATGCAAGCAAATTACATTTTGTATAAAAATAAATTAATAACATAAATTGAAAATTATATTGAACACAAAATTGAAAGGAATAATGATAATGTTGAAAATTTCAAAATAAAACCTTGAAATATTTCTTTTTTTCCAATTTTCAAATTTATGAAATTTATGAATTTTGTTTGAATTTATATTTACATATAATTCTTCACATATGATTGCAATATTCGTTGCAAATATTCAATAGTTCACTTATTGCGTTGGTAATGTATGTTTTTTACTGGCAGATGTGGTTGGCCAGTATAGCTATACTGGGCAAGGTAGACCCTTTCTTGCAGTCGTTGCTTATTTGTGAGGTATGGTCAGTCTCACCAGCGTCGTCACAATAAATTTATAGATTGTGACCAAAATATTCAAAGTGTTGTGATTATATTTCAATTTCTTTATTTCAGAATTTATAAATTTTAAATTTATATTTAATATAGTAAAACAAATTAACTTTGTGTTGCTGTTTTGCGTAGATTGCAACCATTAAAGGTCAGCAACTTACTGTTTTTTTTGCCGTACTTGCGAGAAAAGCTCTTTATTTAAAAGAACACAAGGCATATAACATAATTATGTGGTGCTTATTGGTTGATTTTGATACAGGCATCAAACATGCTTGTAAGTGTATGAATACATATTTAAATGAAATACAAGCCCAGCAGTTGTATAAAACATTTCAACTAAAATTGATTTTAATGGTCGATTTATGTTGTGTACGAATTTAGAATCACAGACTGATATGAGTATTTTTAAATTGCAATAGTATAAATGAAAGCGTTTTTTGGAAAAATTCATTGTAATTGTTTATGTATTAGAACAAATTATTTTAGATTGTGAAAAACGATATAAGAAGTGTAATTTCACCGATATCGACTGATATGTGGATGTTACAGGTACAAAGAAGGAAAGAAATGTAGTTCTTTGTATTACTATTAAGATAAAATCTTCATGTACTTAGTTTAGAACAAATTAAAATTTCCAGTTTGATAAAATAATAATATATATGTAAACAAATTTAATGTGATTTACCTTAACATTATTTATGTCTACGTGTAATTATAAAGTTTTCCTTTAATTATTTTACTAAGCTTAGCAAACAATATTTTAGTAGATGAATTGGTTCTCAAATAGTTATCAAAGTAAAGTAAATATTAGGTATTAAGTGCAGGGAGACTATTTAGAATTACATTACCGATGGTATTTCTCTCACTATATATACAGTTTTGATTTTCTGTTATGAACATATATGCTACTATATAGTAGTAGTGGTTTCTTATATAAATTAAATTTAATGTCGTGTTGTCATTTGTATTCCAGAAGACTGTTCAAATATGTCGGTATATGACGTAGTTTCATGAACTTTCAGAAATTCTGCTTTATGTACTAAAATTTTTAAATATGGGCGTATCGATGGGTAAAAGTGGAAACATATTAGATGCATTGCCAACACAGGTATCGAATCAATTTATCTGATTACTATAGTATTATTAATTCCTAATTTACAGGGTACTTTTCATGTTGTCATGCTTGGCTTGGACTCTGCTGGGAAGACTACTGCTTTGTACAGACTCAAATTTGATCAATACTTAAATACCGTGCCTACAATTGGATTTAATTGTGAAAAGGTATTTATGGTGCACTCGTAATGATATATAATATTCATTTAGAATTTTTCGCAGGTCCAAGGCACATACGGTAAGGCAAAAGGTGTTCAATTTCTCGTGTGGGACGTAGGTGGTCAGGAAAAACTAAGACCGCTTTGGCGAAGTTATACACGGTGTACAGATGGCATACTCTTCGTTGTTGATTCAGTCGATGTGGAGCGCATGGAAGAAGCAAAAATGGAGTTGATGCGTACTGCAAAATGTCCAGATAATCAAGTATATTATATATAGAGATTTAAGAGAAAATTCGTAAAATTTTAAGTATTATCCCTAAAAAATGTTTGCATGTATAATATATGTTCGAATATGCTTCAGTATATAACGTAGCGATTGATACGCTAGTTACATTTTCTCATTTGGCACAGTCCATTATTGGATTTGTTTACAGCCTTAAAAGTAATAATAATTTTTGCATAGATTTTGTAACGCCATTTACTATTGAACTTTAAAAATTTTCTGTATACTTAATACGAATATGCATATAAAAACTGTCATAAATAAGCACAGATGAGCAGAATCCACATACAAATTAATACTCAGTGGTGACAATCAACAAACGTTTTTGTAAATAACATCCTCGTTTGCGTCAATAGCAAATATTAATTTCATTTGGTGCAGCAGGATTTGAAAGTGCAGATATAATTATGCGTTTGTTGTAGTTTGGCTTCTTTAATACATTTCCGAGTCTACAGTTGGCATAAAGCGTTAGTAATATATTTTAACTCTTTATTACTAATGCGGTAGATGTGCTAAATTGAAACTATTGTGCTAGCTTGACCAGTACCAATTAATAAACTAAAAATACTGATTTGATTTAAAAAAATTTTTGTTTTACAAATCTATGCTGTAAAATTAAATCAAAGACTAGAATATTTAAATACTTATTTACTCACAAATTTATTTTACAGGGTGTACCTGTATTGATATTAGCAAATAAGCAAGATTTGCCTGGCGCAAGGGATCCCAAAGAGCTAGAAAAACTACTAGGGTTACAAGAACTTCTATATCCAGTTATTAATTTGTCAACTAAAAATACGGGGTCTTCATCTACTGGAAATATCGTGAGCTGTAGTAGTACAAGCAATACTGGTACGACAAGTTCATTGTACGGAAGAAGTCTTACTCCGACATCTCAGCATATTAAGTCATTTAGTGTTTCGTCTGTGGCACTAAGCAGTCGCAGCTTAACAAATGATAATTTGGCCCCATCAGTGGGCGTAAACACGTTATCGCAAACGCATATTACTCTTTCAAATATATCAGATATGGATTTGGATTTTAGTCAATTAAATGACAAAAGCACCGATATAACCATACCAGCATCCACCATTGTTACCAGTCCTAACACAAAAGTAGTAGATTTTACAGCAGCAAATAAAGTTAATACGATTCAGTTTAAAGGATGGTACATACAACCAGCATGTGCAATTACAGGAGAGGGTTTGCAAGAGGGTCTAGAAGCGTTATATGATATGATAATTAAACGTCGCAAATTAAATAAATCTCTTAAAAAAAAACGGTAATATTATTAATTAAGACTATATTTAAATTCATGATACATATTTTATAACGAAACTATAGCCAAGCATTACCATAGTCTAAGTATTATAAAATGATTCTGATATCTTTTAATTTTTAAAAAAATGTATTAATTATAAAATAACGTAAACATGTCTGTAAAGGTAAACAATTACATTTTTACATTTCGTTATCAGTATCGTTTTATTCGTTTAAAATTTATGAAAAAAAATATATATGTTATTTTTGTTTGATATTTATCGCTTCATATTTTTTACGTATTTAATTTTTTATTTGATTTATTATTTTTATTTTTTTTAATGTTTTACTAAAACATATTTCTTTTGTTTATTTATTTTTATGTATTTATTTATTTATTATTTGTACATATTTGTTTATTTTAATGTAATAATAACTTATTTTTTATTAACATAAATAAGTTATATATATTATAACTTATTTATTTGGTGTTTATTTGTCTATATGTATTATTTTATTTTAATTTTTATTTATAAGTCCGACTTTATAATAAAGCCAAAGAATTTGTTTCCGAAATATTTTTGATTTAACAGTTAACAATTAGACACAAAATACATATGATGTTTTATACATACCTATATAAATATATTTTCATTTGTGTTATTTGACTTACAAAGAATATTAAAAATTTACCTATATTTTTTACCTATGGATATTTGAAATGATGTTAATATCTCTATATATATTTTGTCGTGTTCTTTATTTTTTTTATTTGAGGATGTATTTATATTGAAACCAGAAACTTAAATTTAAAAATACCAATCTCGTTCGACTAACCGAGTTTTACTAATAGTAGGGATCAGATTATTTCACACAATTATAAATGTAAGTATGATAAGCGTTTTGGTGCATTCGATTTTTATGCAAATAATGTTTCACGAAACCATGATTTTTAAAAAGGTTTTTTTTCTTTAAATAAAATTTCTAATAATTTTTATTTGCTTATAACTACGAAAATTAAAATGGAAAATATCGAGAATTTGTAGTTTTGTTCTTTTATAAATACTTTAATTAGGATTTCCTACAGATTAAAAAATATATTATTTATGATGTATTGATGTATGTATTAATTTATATTATGCAAGGTCTAAATATAAGTCAGCATCACTAAATAAACATTAATTCCATGTATTAATTTACAAATATGTTACAACAAAATAGTCATAACTGGAAATGGAATCAGAAAGCAAAATAAATACAGATTACGTTTTAAAAACATGTATTGGAATAAAAATTTTGAATTCGTAGCAGATTCAGCTTTTATTTAAATTTCAGCCCTAGCTCTTTAAACAACAATTTTGTTCGTTTCATAATTTTACATATCAAATATTTTTTAAACCTATTATTGAATTACTTATCTCTTATATAATTATTCGTTCGAGTAATTAAAAAATAATTCACCAATGATATTTTAGTAGTACTTTTTATTATTAAGATAGTTAAATTTTTATTATAAATAGTTTCACAGACATAAACTTACAAAAAAAATGTAAATATATGTGTTAGATTATCAGGAAACCAATTTTATAAATTATCCGTGTTTCAATTTTGGCAAATTTTGTATATTTTTCAGTTTCTGACAGATGAAATTGTATGAAATTAATTGTAACAAATAACTATTTCTTTAAATATGTTTTTTAATTCGTAATAACTATATAAATAAACGAATGGTTTTGCTACTGTAAGTGAAGCAAGTTTATTATTATTAACTGAAGTAATGTTTCTTTGCTGTTTTAGAGTTCATTTTTGTATAAATTAAAAATTCAGTAAGATTAGATAAAGATAAAGTATTGAACTACAACAACAAAAATTTTATTTTTTTTATATTATTTTAATTAATTGAATTTTTGGCTGACCATACAGCTGTTTCGAGTATTGCCAAATACCCATCAGTGGTCTTGGAAATAATTCTTGTATTTAATTATTCGTAAATAATTTTTTGAGACTGCAAGTACCAGGAATCGAACTCGGGTCCTGCCAAATGTAAAGCTCAGAATCAGCGAATCAGTAAGATTTGATTGTAATTTGTATATTTTTTCATAAATGTATATAATTTTTTCAAAAAGTATTCTGTCGTTAATGTATTTTCAATATATTTTAAAATATAGACCCTTTGAAATTTTTTGGTTAAATATCTTTATAGGTATGGTGTTGAATTCGCTTTACGATATCAGTTTTATCTTATCTATTGCTGAAAAACGTTGTCCTCTGTGTGTATTATTGATTTTGGAAAATATAAATAACCCGCATTACAGTTATGTATATTATTTTTCGCTACCAACTGTTGGATTAAGTCAAAAAGGCTCATAAAAATCGTTTTGCATAAACACTAAGACATTCCTGTTTTCTTCAACAACCTGTATAACATATTCAATAATTTGTTGGTTTTAATTCGGTTTAAATCTTACGTATATTTAGGCCTATTCTGAATCGCACGGGAATGGGAGTTTGTTCCCTGTTCCCAAGTTTGCTATTCTAAATCATTTTGGAATAGGAGTTTTGTTTCCTGTTCCCAATTTTGCTATTCTGAATCGCATGGGAATGGGAGTTTTTTTCCCAATTTTGCACAAATTCTTTCCCAAGCAAATTGTTGGGGAGACAAGTTAAAAAAGTATTAAAAATGGTTTAATTTAATATAAAAGTAACTAAAAATGATCAAATTTTTGAATATATTTTAATAAAATATTTTAATAATAATATAATTATTACAATAAATTTAATATCTTCAAAGTTTTATTTTTTTATTTTATCCACAGGAGTTGATTAGTTTTCCGAATATATTTTAATAAAATAATTTTAAAAAATTTAATATAACAAAATTTTCATTTAATATATTTTATTAAAATTATTATTTTAATAAAAGTATAACAAATTTAAAATATTTAAATTTTTATTTATTTATTTTATTCACACGGGTTTTTTCCACTAATTAAAGTGTTAACTCTTGTTTTTAGAACAATAGAAAAATAAAAGGAAACCAAATTCTGAAATGAATGGGATTTCAAGAATAAGTTAAAATAACCTTTTGCAATTCTGTGCAGGTAAAACATTGCTTCTTTTTTATTGTAACATCTGTGCAATCATAAACTATTATTAGTTCATTAATTGAAGTATGAAGGACATTCCTAATTAAAAATTAATTTAATTAATTAAAAAAATTAAATTATAATTTACGCAAATTGTGTATAAAAGCAGTGAATGTTTGAAAATAAAGACATTGAAGAATTGATATCATAACGTAAGGTTGTTCTTTAATTAGTTAATTAAGAGTTAAAAATTTAGAATTTAGCATTTGGTTTATTTTGCTCATGCACAATTCTTTTTATATATTTATTTTACTCATTAAAATAAAAGTTTTTTATTATTTATTATTTACTCATAAAATAACATCTTTATTTTCGATAATTTGTGCAGCAAACAAATAATGCGGTTTTTACATTTAAATCAACATATGATACGCAATTCTTTTCTTTGTTTTGCTCATTTTCGCACTTTTCGTCATTAAAAAGTGCCATGGTTGCCAAAATTTAACAAAGCAAATTTGAAACTGTTGTTGTTCCCAAAACTGCTGTCTCCCAAGCAATTCAGAATAAGGGAATTGTGTGTTTGGGAACAGCGTGGGAATAGGGAGTTTTGTTCCCTGAGAGTATTCAGAATAGGCCTGATTATCTCACTCAACATATCGTCTAACGGGAATGTTAGTCTTGCCCATTTTCATTCATAAACAAAAGTCTCGATTAAGCTACAACCGCTTTAGTAACTGATGACTTTGACTGTAGTCTAATTATATGGAGTACAGAAGCCGAATAGTACGCAGAGTTAAATATACAGTGACGAACATAATTATTACGACAACAAACATATTGAAATTTAACACTGTTTTTGTCAAGTTAATGAAGCGATTTTTAATTAATAAAAATTAAAAAAAAAATAAAAATTTTTTTAGACAATATACATAATTTACAATAAAATTGATTTTATTTCTTTATATTATTTCTTACATTTAAAATTATTGGCAAACTTAGGTTCTAATAAACTATTTTAACATAATTTCGTAGATCTGACAACTTTTTCCTAGAAAATACCTGTTTTTTCCACATTTCTTCCTAAAAACGTTAACAAACCTTAAATAACAAACTTAATACATTTTGAACAAAATGAGCAATAAACATAAAGAACTGCCGAATCTCAGCAGAAAATAATTCTTTATTTGCACAATCAAGGTAAATCTTATGCCGATATTAGGGAAATGATGTGTAGAAGCCACTACATCAATCGGAGCATTGTACACCGTTCCAAGAGGGAGACATCATTCTAAAATGCAAAGCACACGGACCGACCTAAAGCTTTGAGCGACTGTAAACGCAACAAAATAATAAAGGTTAAAATCTGATCGCCGCTGAAGTTAACCGAGAGTTTAGCGAGGATATTCATCGCCTAATGGTCAGGAGTCTACTGGTTGAAACAAATTACAGGTGGCGTGTTGCTAGATGAAAACCGTTTATTTTACAGGTCAATCACCAGAAGCATTTAGCCTATGCAAAGGAGTACTTAAGCTCCTTTTGACTTTTGGGATAATATACTATTCTTGGTTAAAAAAATTTAAGATCGTTCTATCTTATAGCTATCAAACGACTTGAAGAAAACCAAATACTGAACTGCAAAAAAAGTAATCCTAATATGTCTGTGAAACATTGTGGTTCCATGTAGGTGTATGTCCGCTGCAGATGTCAACGCATTGGAATTTATTAAGGGAATTATGGACAAAAAATTTTATATAAACATCCTCTAGAGAAACGTCAAAGGTCTGAAATCTTAAGTTTACCAGTCACGTTTAGCTTCTAATATGACCATGATCTGAAATGTACGGTATGATGTGCGTATGTGGCTCGCGTATCACGTAAAACATACTAAAACGATAAAGGCAGAACTGAAGGTGACACTGTTCAAAGAATGGCAAAATATTGGGTAGAAACTCTTTGTTTTGACTAAATAATTATTTTAAACCGTAAATATTTTTTTAAAATTTGTTTTTTAATTTTTGCATAAGGTGCTAATAATTTTGTTTAACATAATTTAGTACTTTTTTCAGTTTTTTCATTCGAAATTATTAAATGTAAGAGATAATACAAAAAAAAATTTAAT